TAGCAAGGTCAATAAAGACAACGCCGTTTAGAAGGCCATTGTCGATGTTTCCTGACCAAGCATTTTTGTTGCCTCAAGCAAAGCCGTGAGCGTACTATGTAGAGAACGGAACCCTGATTGGCAACCTAGTAGCAATTTATTTCATCTAGATAATGGAAAAGTTGATTATAAACAATTCTTTCAAAAACTTTCGAAATTATAGGGATTACAGATATTGGCCTGTAGTTGTTAGGGTCCGATTTAATGCCCTTTTTAAGAGCCAATGTCTGTAATTTTCGAGAATCGGCTGACAGTCGTGAATTTTTTAATTTCTTCATATTTTGCCCAAATAATCTCTATAGTACACTAATTTCAAAAATCACCTTAAAACTTGTAACAGCTTTTAATTTTTTCATGAATCATGCAAAGTTTGAAAAACTCTAAATCGGCGCTCTTTCGAGTATGAAATTAGCGAAAATTGAGCATTTTCTTCGCGCTCGTACATAAAAACGGAATAATACCTCTAGATGAAATCAAGTCACAAAACAGACACACATTTTTACTTTATAATTCAGCAATTAACTTTAAATAAACCGTTTAAATGAGACTGTACCGGCTGCAAGAAGAAACACGCTTTCAGCACCTTTCAAACATCGCAAATTTGACCTAACTTCACCATCGTAAAAACCCAGTTGGTACATGGAATTTCAACATGAAACAAAAACTGTATTAAAGCATATCCTTTGCTGTTGTTTGTGTTAAAATATTTCTGGCGGCATTCCAAATGCGCACCGTCGAGAGACCAAAACCTGAAGGGTATTTTGACACCAGGAAAATGCGTGCAACAAGCGAGTTTCGACGCTTGGAATATTAATCCTTTCAAACATTAGTTACTTTGACATTTAAACCCTAGTCAGAGTTGTAACGGTTTCAGATTATATTTCGGCGTTTCTGTTCGGTTAATTTAACATGATTCCTTTCAACTGATTTTTGCGATAAACCGTAATGAAGAGACACGAATACGCAGTTCAAATCACAGTTAGTAGAGGGGAATATTGCCAAAATACTCGCTTGCTATAGTTTTAATCGTATTGAAACCTTAAAATCAGAGAAGTTATTTACTTACCTGAACTTAAATGCTAGACGGGGTCACAGTACCGCTAACTAAATTCTACATCAAGGCAGAATCAAAGTTAAGTTTGTGTATGTTTTCAATCTGTCAACACGAGGGAAGATGACATTCCGGAAGTGCGTGACGCGTAAAGCGCCGGCAAAGAAATTCCTGGTAAAAGTGTCTTACGGTGCAAGTCTTTGATGCATGTTCGTATAGCATCTCGCACATATTCAAACTTGGTTTGTGGCGCCTGTGGCCCCAGTAATGCTGAATGTATTGCGATCATAGAAAAGATGTCGTGAGTCACTTGGTATGCTCCTGACTTGTTAGTCACGTGAGTATATAGGGCAATAACCAAACATCGACCCTACCATGCTAATTATAAAAGTAAAGTTTTCTGCATTCACGTTAGGTGACCTTTGTTTGATCCACAAAAGTTGGCGCATGAAAATAAGAGTTTTTCCTCACCACCGCTAAATGTTTGGTTCGCGGTGGTGGTGCAACAAATCACGTGGTACCGTTCTAGATCAGGCTACCAGCTGCTCATAGAGGGGTCCATAAAGGCACATTGATTGATGACTCTGTATGGCCTGAAGAAAATGATTTACGGAGACGTTTTCTGAGCGACGAAGGTGCAGCTTTTACACTCCTTTTTCGTTTCGAAAATGGACGAGCACGCGAGCGAAGCGAGCGCGCGAGAGAGATCCCCTTGCGCTAATGGTTAATAAATCCCCTGCGGTTTTTATTTTTATACGCGAAATCGACGGTCTCCAAAGAGAAAATAGATCGACGATCTCTAAAGAAAAAGTAGAGGGACTGTGAATAGGCTACCAAGGTGCTTGCTATTATTTTAGTGAAGTTTACAGAGGTCTCAGGTGACTATGCTAACGTCATGAAAAGTCTACTTAGCTTGTTTAAATTTAGCTATGGCAGGAGGAGGAGATGGGTGGGTTGGTTGGCATTGGGTTCTCCATTATGATCAACCCTATACATACAAAAATTCATGTCTTTATCACTGCATTTAGAGCTAGCAGACTGTTTGATCCACAAAATTGGCGCATGAAAATAAAAGTTTTCCTCACCACCGCTAAATGTTTGGTTCCGGGTGGCGGAGCACAAATCACGTTGTACCGTTCCAGAACAGCCTACTATCTGCTTATTTAAAAGGGGTCCGTAAGGGCACATTAATTGATGACTCTGCGCGGCCTGAAGAAAATAATATACGCAGATGTTTTCTGAGCGACGAAGGTGCAGCCTTCACACTTCTTTTTCTTTTCGAAAATGGCCACGGTCTTCTCTACTCGCTCCTCGCTGCTAGGCGGTCGTTTTTGCCTGAGGGATACCACTACGAAGGAGTTTTAGCACACAGGTCACTACAGGTGCAGATTTAGCGAAAAGGGCATTCTCCATCTGAAATTTAAATCGACATGAAAGGCTATTTTCAGCCTTTTATCTCTTTTCCGCGCAACGTATTTGGTTAAAAGATGATAAGTAAAATGGCTGAGGCATTTTAAAGCATTTTTTCATTTTGGCGTCGGATTTTGACGTTATGAAAAAGAACTTGTCAGTGAATTGGTTTATTTTCTAGCCTGCGAAAGAGTGCCGGGGGGTGGCAGCGGAGAAAGCCAGGTGACTATTCCTTTTTTTAGGCGGGAGTTAGCATGTACGTGCATTCTAGTCTAACGCCATAATGTGTAGACTGGCCTTTAATGGGCGGGGGATCAGATCGTCAGCAGCAGGTTGAGGTCTAGCCAGAAGATACCCTTGCTGCAGAGGAGCAAAGCAATACTACTTTCAGTAATTTAAACATGTTAAATACTTTTATTTCGCTCATCAAATGTGTCCATTGTCCATTGTCGATTTGTGGTTTTTCAGGAATGTTGCACGGAGTATTGGCCAATTTTCTTTAAACAGTTTTACTCGTTTCCTTTTCCCTGCTATACCTTCATGTTGCATATGGCGTAAGTGTGTACCTAAATCCCTCAATTCATACTGAGGAGATCCACAGAGAAGTCTATACGCCAAGCGGGGTTAAGATTAGTTTATTACAAGCAAAGGTTCAGAAGGCTAAGTGCAAATAAAAGAAAACTAGTGTGAAAAGTTTTGCAGACTCGGCTTACTCTATTTTTTTTCTTTCTCTGTTTGAGTTTCGGCTTGTACATTCTAAAATCAAGTTTAGTTCGACATGTTTTGGGGAGTATTCAATATAAAAATAATAAAAAAACAGTGTTAATTGTCATTTTATTTTTTCTTGTACACTCGTGCGATGATTTATCCTTGTCTGTACAGTTGCGTGACAAGACTCAAATCACACACGGGCTTTCATCACGCAACACAGGGTTTAGTCCGTGGCTAAACGACGGAAAATTTCAGTAAACTGCGGCCACTTGCAGTTGAAACGACTGTGGTAAGTAAATTCTTATAGATCTCGTATCTCATTTA